GTGACTTGGTAGAATAGAGGCATTTGAAGACCCAGTTTCAGCTACAAGCCTGGAGTCGGAATCAGGACAGCTCAGACTAGGTCCCTCTGATAGGTTGACCCTAAGGCTTAGAGCCCACGTTCACTGTGACACCCATTGGCCAGGCCCTGCTCCAAGACCTTGATAAGGTCTTGGTGCATTAACCCACCCAGCTGCCCCCGAGGTACCATTACCACACCCAGTTGTCCAATGAAGAAATGGAGGCTGAAGAGGTTAAGTCACTGCATTTGGTTAGTGAGGTGTGAGGACTGCTCGCAGCAGTTGTGAGAGGGCTTTGTCTGTCCTCTGAGACCACACAGTCCCGGGGCTTAACCTTTTGGGGAAAACAGGCCCCTTAGAGGTTCAGCTGAGAACCATCAGTGCCAGCTTTCAAGGATCACGTGTCTTCCCAGAAAAAAAAAAACTCCAAACATTCTCATGCCATTTTTCATACGGTTTCAAGAGTTTGTCCACTCGAAAACTGCTTCTCCCAGTGAGGACCTTCGGCGGTCAAGGCTAAGCTTCCCTCCCCCCCACAACAGGACTCATCCCAAGGGAACTCTGTGTATCAGATCGCCATGGTGCACTACATCAAGCAGAAGTACCCCCACCTCCAGGTGATTGGGGGGAATGGTGAGTGTGGGGTTTCCTCTCATCCCCCAGTCCTTGCCCCCTGACTGTGCAACCTTGGGATGTTGTCCTTCAGCATCCCAAGCGGTGGCATCGCTCCTGGCATGGGAGGGCAGAGGGCTGAATGAGTGGGCTTTGGATGCTGTGGGGGGTGGAGGCTAGATTGGGCCCCAGAAAGCCATGGGCCAGGTGGGGCAACCCTTCCTCACACTATTCTCCCCACAGTGGTGACGGCGGCTCAGGCCAAGAACCTGATTGACGCTGGTGTGGATGGGCTGCGTGTGGGCATGGGCTGTGGTTCTATCTGCATCACACAGGAAGGTGGGTTCAGGAGGAAGATAAGTGGTCCCTCTCAGAACCCCACTGGCCCTCTACATCCCCTAGGACTCACTCTGTTTCCTCAAATGCTCACTGAGTGCTTGCCCTGCCAGGCCCCTTCCGCATCCCAGGTTGATAGGTTCAGGAGTGACCCAGGCTCAACTCTGGCCCCTGATTTGGGGAAGGTGGGTATAAGGTGAAGATGCTGTGAGTTTTGGGGTGTGCTGGTGTGCTTCTCAGATCTGGTCGAGGAGGCCCCAGGCTGGTGTGAATACTTCTCTGAGATGCTTGCGGAACCAGCTGAGGATTTGGATTAGCTTTGTGACAAGGCAGACACTTAAGACGTGGGGATAGCACATCCCTGGATATGGCTATACGCCCATATCACCACCCGGCGATAGTAGGAGTGGGGGCTCCACTTGGTCAGGAAACCCTATATCTTTCGAGGTGGGTTCCTAACATGAAGCAGGGGTAAGACCCTGACGTCTGTCCCCATGTGGTTGAGGGGGTGCTGCTGAGGCTAGTGCCCGACTTGTGGCTAGTGCCTGGCTTGGCCCGAGGGGATGTGTCTGGCCTTGTCTAGTGAGGGTGGTTTCTCCAGAATGCCAAGGCGCCTTTGGTTTTCTCTTCCAAAACATCCCCCTTCAGAGCTTTTTACACTTAACTGACTACTGTGGTGAAGTGTGGCTCTTAGTCGCTTAAATATTTTTGTTGTTATTTTTAAAATTTTATATTTCATTAAAAATTTTTAAAGTCCTTTTTGGTCAGTTAAATAGTAATTGAGTGCCAACTGTGTGCTAGGTGCTGTTCTAAACCTTGGGAGTCAGTAGGAACAAAAGAAATGCAAGGTCCCTCTGGAAAAGGCCTCTTCTCTGCTTTATCCAGCCTTGCATCCTTCCGTGGATAAGTGCGGGTTCCTTGGGCTCCCAGTTAAAACCTCACACATAAGGACTTTGGGTGATTAAACTTAAAGAAAGGCAAAGCGATATGCAAAGGAGGCCACGCACACCTAGAAACAGGCTTTGCAACTGAAATCCTCAAGGAGGAACTTGTACAGGGGAGAAATAAGGCTGGAGAGCACCAGCTGAGCACAACAGCCTGGGGGGTGCTTTGTGGGCCCCCTATCAAAATCCCCCATAGCAGTGTGACGGGTGGGAGGGTCCAAGTCTGGGGAGCCACCTATCTTGTGCCCCAGAAATATCATCCAGTCCTGTCCATTTTCCTGAGGGGAGGCAGGGCATGAGGAGAGAGGGGCCTGTCCCCCCATATTGCTGCTGACACATCTCTCTGTGCACGCTCCCCCAGTGATGGCCTGTGGTCGGCCCCAGGGTACTGCTGTATACAAGGTGGCTGAGTATGCCCGGCGCTTTGGGGTGCCGGTCATAGCAGATGGTGGCATCCAGACCGTGGGGCACGTGGTCAAGGCTCTGGCCCTTGGAGCCTCCACAGGTGAGGGGGGGTGGCTGGAAGGGGTCACTGGACTGGCTGGTGGAGCTGGGAGCTGGGCTCAGGCAGTAGGGGTCTCGGGACCAGAGGCATTGACCCCCTCAACCCCCACAGTGATGATGGGCTCCCTGCTGGCTGCCACCACGGAGGCCCCTGGCGAGTATTTCTTCTCGGATGGGGTGAGGCTCAAGAAGTACCGGGGCATGGGCTCGTTGGATGCTATGGAGAAGAGCAGCAGCAGCCAGAAGCGATACTTCAGGTGCCTTCCTGGGAACCCCAGCCCCAGGCACATCTGTCCTCAACCCTACAAGATCCACTCACACCACTGACTTATCCAGTTGGTGCCCAGTCTCCATATTAGAGTTCTGGAAACTGAGGCACAGGCCACAAGTGGCAGGCCTGGGCCAGTTCCTCGGCCACCGTACTCAGAATCTGCTTTTTTTATGCTGTAGCCTGGGGGGTGGCTGCTTTGAGAGTCCATCTGGGTGGTATCCTCTCTGCCAGTGTCCTTGAGAAGCAGGGTGGGGGGGCCCCCTGAACTGAGGGTGGCTTGGCTTGGCTCAGCGTCCCGGCTTTCCACACAGTGAGGGGGATAAAGTGAAGATTGCACAGGGTGTCTCAGGCTCCATCCAGGACAAAGGCTCCATTCAGAAGTTCGTGCCCTACCTCATTGCGGGCATCCAGCATGGCTGCCAGGATATCGGTGCCCGGAGCCTCTCTGTCCTGCGGTGAGTGCCATGACGTCAGGTGGGGACACCTGGGAGGCTCCTGGCTTCCCCCTGCTTCCTTTCTCTCCCCCTTCTCTGCCTTTGGTGCCCCTGACTGCTCTGCCTACCTGCCCGCAGGTCCATGATGTACTCAGGGGAGCTCAAGTTTGAGAAGCGGACCATGTCAGCTCAGATTGAGGGTGGTGTCCACGGCCTACACTCGTAAGTGTGGTGGCCTCCTTGCCCTGGCTGGCTGGCACTGGGTCAGGCAGAGGTGGCCATGATTCAGAGGCCAGGCTGAGGTTTCAGGGACCACCGCACAAGGATGGGTGCTGCTGCAGGGAGACCCCGTCACCCTGCCCTGAAGTGCCCAGCCTGCCCTTCAACCCTGGCAATTAGCCGCCCCGTGCAGGCAGGCCCCTCCCCTCCCCTCGGGCCTCTCCCCCGAGCAGGGCACGGGAGATGTGGCCACTGGCTTGCTCAGAAGCTTGGTGACTGGTGGCAGGGGCTGGTGGTGCTGGGATCTTGCTGGTGGCAACACCAGGCAGGCAGGTGGAGGCTGAGGGCTCGGGCCCTCTGGCGGGAGAAGGGCAGAGAGAGATGCCAGGGCCCGCGCTGGGTGACCGTGGGTGGGGGCAGTGCTCGTTGGCAGCAGTAGTTGCAGGCATGCGGCACCCCCTGGTCGAGAGGCCCATCTCCCCAGGCCTAGGTGGGCATCTAACCTGTGTCTCTTTCCGCCCCATCTCCCATAGCTATACCTTTCTGCCGTGTAAGTAACTGCGCTGCCCGGGCCAAGCGTAGAGTAGAGCAGGGGCAGTCTGGGTGGGATCTGGGCTGGGGTGGGGGCTACAGGGCTGGGGTTATAATCATGGGACTTGGACCCTGGCATCAGCACCATGGCGGGGACAGCCAGCCATGGCCCTTCCAGCAAAAACAAAGATCCCCTTCCGGGGTGCAGAGACTGCCCTGTCTGGGACTGGACTGATGGCCACCGGGGGCCTAGGCCACTGTGTGTGCAGGGGTGGAGTGGAGACACGGCTGTGCAGGTTCAGCTTCTTGACCTGAGCTTGCTCTGTGAGGCTGCGCCATGCCTTCCTGAGTTTCTTCACCCCGGGTGCTGATGACACTCTACCAGCTGCCGCAGTGGCCACAAGGGGCCTGGCTGTCCCTGGACCTGGCATGGGCCTTCCAGGAGTCTTGGCCTAAGGAGGGCAGGGGCACGGACTTGCTTCCATGCCCTCCTGCCCCCAGGGCCGAGGGCTCCAGCAGCTCGTTGTCTCTCCTGCTTCTGGAGCTGCTGCAGCCCAGGGGCCTGGGCAAGGGGCTCTGGGAAGGAATCAGGGTGCACACACCCACTCTCAGTTCCCCTCTTGCCTTGTCCCCACAGTTACGAGAAGCGGCTGTACTGAGGACACTGGTGGAGGCCGAGGCAGCGGAGGGGGCACCTCCCAGGCTCCCCCTTTGGGCACAACTCCCCTCCATAACTAAGCAGTCCAAGATTTGCACTACGGGTTCCCCAGTTCCCTTCCAGGGAGAGAGGAAAGGAGGCCCTCCCGGGGCATCCCCTGCGAGTCAGGACTGCTCCCTGGGCCCAGCTGCCCCGGGAGCCCCTGGGTGGCTCCTTCAGTTCCCCCGAGCCCAGCCAGCCTGGGCTCTCAGGCCCTGTGCCTGCCTCAGGTCTTTCTTGCTGCAGCCTGCTCGGGCCGGCTCCCACCCTGGGGCCCCTTCTGGCTTCTCCTGTAGGGCACCTCCCTACCCCCCACCCCGGAAATGGTGCTGTCCTGGCCCCGCCTCCGGCCCCTTCCTGGGCTGCTGCCCCCTCAGCCATGTGGCACCTCTGGGCTCCTGACCTAGGTCGGAGGGAGGCCTCTGCCCCCTTCCCCTGGCCCTGGGCACCTGGCCCTGTTCCTCAGGCCACTCCCCTGTCACCGTCCCTGCAGAGGAGGCTGCCATTCATTCCTGACACCGCTGCCCCCAGGTGTACCATTCCTGCCCTCTTCTCTCAGCTACAGTTGAAGGCTTTAATTACACACTTGGGGGGGTCACAGTTGCGTCATTGTATATTAAATAATCAGAATAAATCAAGAGATCTCAAGGCCTCTGCCATCCAGTTGATGTTGCTTGTCCTCTGGGCAGCTGGAGCCTACAGCCTTATCAGAGACGGGCAGTGGGGGCCACCAGGCCCAGCCTCCCCAGGAAGGTGATGAGGGCATGGCGGTATTCGAGGGGGTGCTGGCGCAGGTGGGCTGCATGGCGGGAGGTCTCCCAGGCCTGTGCCCACACGGGCATGCCCGCCTGCTGCCAGCTGGCTAACAGCTCCTGCAGGTGGGCAGTGTCACAGAGGGGGTCATCGTAGCTGTAGAAGACAAGCGTTGGGGGCTTCACGGGTGGCCGCCAGAAAGTGTCCAGGGCAGCCTCGTAATGCTGAACGGTGCATCGTGGGCACAGGTGGAAGTAGAGCATGGCCGTGGCCCTGATCACAGGGCCCAGGGCCTGCGGTCTCATCAGTTGAGACACACCTGTGGGTACCAGGCAGTGGGTTAGCGCCAAGCCTTCTGGTGCAACTCACGACCCACCTCCCAGCCTCCAGTCCCTCCTGACACTGGCTGCTGCGTGTCCTGAGCTGAGGGTCTTGGGACACTCCTGCACTTCTCATGTAGTTGGGCAGGGCAGACAGCTGTCCCACTGAGGTATAGATACCGTTGCGGGCACAAGAAGGTGCTGGGAATGCTCAGGGCCAGCAATGAGCAGAGGGAGAATGCCTAGTTTGTGGGCAATGAAGAACTGGGCACATTCCGTGACCTCCAGGGAGGGGCTGCCATAGCTCACTGTTGGCACAGCCTGCTGGTGCCTGCCCTCTCTCAGGCCCCTCTTGATGGGAGCCACTTGGTCTGGGGCCAGCCTTCATTGGGGCATTTTCCAGCCCTGTGGTATCTTCAGGGATGAGGAGGGAAGAGCGGCCTGTTGAGTGGGCTCATGGCTGGTCCAACAGTATACCCGCAGCTGTTGCAAGGTGTCCTTGAGAGTCCCCAAGGCATTGTACCCTGGAGTCTGTCGCCTTGGTGAGCACTTAGGAGTGTAAAGTCACCAGCTGGGTGGAAGGAGCATGCTCGGATTCCGAGGACGGGAAGAGATGAGGGGTGAACCACAACGAGGCCATATTTTATGGTTTGCCTTGCGCGTGGGTTTAAAAAACCATCAAGGAAGCAGCTTGACCAGCCGTGGAGATAGAGAAATCTAAGGGTTTTTAGACAAATGCATCAAGGTGGGAGTGGTTCAAAGAGGGATTTTCCTTTTGAACTAGATCTGATTAGGGCTGACCTTGTCACAGAGAACTTCCCATTAAGTGCAGTACATTGGGATTAGTCTGGCCCTTCTGAGGAAAGTTAAGAGTTCAGGGCCTCCCTGGTGGTATAAGGGGTTAAATCTTAGCACTATCAAGCTAGAGCCGGCTACTGCAGCGTGAGCTTGATCCCGGCCAGGGAGCTACCCACATGGTACAGCAGACTCTCCTGTCTTGCTCACTGCCCCCTCAGTAGTGTATTTCAGTGGATCCGCCTGTTCTGCTCCCCACTCTGTCTTTGGTGAATCCTCTCACACACACTCCCCCCACCACATGTATGGCCTACACCCCAGTTCTTGTGTGCATAAAGAAAAATAAATCTTTTTTAAAAAATAAGAAAGCTCAGCACTCCCCAAATTTTGGTGTGTATCAGAATCCCCTGGAGAGCTGAAAGTGAGCGCAGAGGCCCAGGGCACCCAGGCAGCAAGGGCCTGGGCCTCTGGTTGGGCACTCAGCCCATGGTGACTGACACATTCTGCAGTTTGAGAATCACTGTTGCAGAGGAAATCCATGCCTCCCGTCTCACGATTTCAGAGACTTTCCACAGCATGTGCCCCGAGAAAAGCATTTCTGATGATCCAGCACCCACTTGTGGCCTCATTGCAGGGACTGTGCTGGAGACTGTAAGTTAGGTTTTTAGGTGTTCAGTAAATGAGGTCTTATCTCCTCCCTTTCCCCAGAGCAATAGATGGGGACTAGGGGATAAACACAGGCCAGGCTGGACCCAGACAACAGCTCCTGCTGGGCTGTAAATGCAGTCACAGTGGGGGAGGCCCAGGTGGATGTTCAGAGGCAGTGAAGAGCCACATTTGGGATGCAGAGCCCAGACCCCTTGGTCAGCAGAACCATGTCCACCTGGAGTCCAGCCTGGTTTGTGGACCCAGGTGTCCCCCCACTCACACTCACCCAATGCCATGCGTTCTAGGCTCCCCACGACCAGACTGTCGAAGATGTGGCCCCACAGGCGCCGGGTCACGGTGCTGTAGCGCCCAGGGTCCCGGCTCATGAGCAGCAGCATCTGTGCAAAAGTATAGCCCCCCAGAGAGAGGGCATGCACCACCAGTGGCCGGCTGGCCAGCACCCCAGGTCCCCGTAGCAAGGCCAGCACGCGGGCTGCGCGCCTCAGGCCCAGGCGCGGGCACAGGAAGTGCCTCAGGGCGCTCTCCACAGCCAGCACATCGAAGCCACAGGCCAGGTAGAGTTGCAGGTACTTGGCTTGGGCAGCCAGACGAGCCCCTAGCCAGGGCAGAAGCAGGAGCAGCGGGCGCGGCCCAGGGGACCCTGGGAGGCCTGACTGGCAGTACAGATGAATGGAGTGTGAGAGTCGGGTCACCTTCACGTCAGAGGGCAGCAGCTGGGCCATTGCTGGTGAATTCTGGGGCGCAGAGTGGAGAGTGGTGGGTGGTCCTCCACTCGACTCTGGCCCCACCTTTCCCTCCACATCCGCATGCCCAGAACAGGGGCTCTCAGAAGGCATGATGGGGTAGTTCGGGAGGGCTGGACTAGCCCTCTGATGGCCCTTTCAGCTTCTGCAGTTCTGCAAATCAGGAAGTGGGCAGCCAGCCCGGAAAGGAGGGTCAGCAGCTGTGCATGACCAGCTTTGGCCGGTGAGGGGGCGGTGCAGAGGCAGCTCCTCCTACCAACCATCCGTGGGCTTTTTGTTCTTCCAGGATCCCTCCAGGCTTGAGAGGGTCAGACCCCAGCCCCAGCCTCTCTGGGATCCCCCTCCATTTCCTCTCCATTCCCTTTCCCCCCCACCCCAGCCCTGGGACTTTACACACTCAGCCCCCCACTTCTTAGGGGGTTGGGGGAGTAATTCTATCCACCATACCCCCCCCTCTCACAGGCCTGAAGCCTGCAGCTGAGCAGAGTTTGGAGGCAGGGAATCTGGTGAGAAGAGAGCAGGGCCAAAGTATGTCACCCCTGCTACATCCACCCCTAGCCCCAAACTCCACTTCTCAGACAGATCCTCAGGTAGGAGCCCTCACCTGCCGGGTATGCGGGTGTGGGTGTGCGTGTGCGAGCCACCTGCACCAGCTTCCTCCTTTATCTTCTTTCCACCTCAACTCAGGAGGGAAGATGGGCGGGGTCAGGGACCCAGGGGACCTTGGTCCCCAACCTCCCGCTCCACCCCCTTTAAGCCTGTTGACAACATCAGTTTCTGGGCTGAGAGCCAAGGTGTCTGGTTTCCAAGTCAGCTACACCCCCAACCCAGCAAGAGTTGGGGAGGAGGCCTGTGGATAACAAGGGGCAGGTAGAGACTTGTGAGACAGGTAGAGACCCCTTGCCATGTGCCTCAGTTTCTCTACTTGTGATCTTAACCCAAGAAAGAGGTCATACCTCCAAGGCGCAACAACAGCTTCCTGTCTTTTGACCTCAAGTATCAGCAGCTCCACTTCACCCTTCGCCTGATTTCAGTGCACAGGGGCTGCCTCAGACAGAAGCCCAACTCTGCATAGAGGGCTTTGTGCTTCTCCCTCTTCTGCCTGCTCCCCAGGGCTCCCTTTGAAGCAGAATGATCTGAGGCTCCCAGGGACTCTCAAGCTGACAAGGTGGGTGGAAATGTTCTCCCCAGAGAAGAGGAAAGTGGGGACTAGAGGCTCACTGGGGGCTGAGCAACTGGGAAGGAGGAGGGAGCAGGAGGGGGCTTATGTGAGGACCTCCCTGTGACCCCACACATCACTCTCCCACCCTCAACTTTAACCTCTTCCTCCTCACTGCTCCCTGCCTGTGGAAAGGGACTAGCTGGAAACAAAATGTGTGTCTGCGCTGTGGTCTCCAAGCTTCAGGAAATGAAGGGGCTTCCTTCGGACCTCACACGGGAAGGATGGTGCTCTCATCCCACCCCATGGTCCACAGTGACTCAAACTGCTTCTGGTCACTGGGAGAATCTAGGAACATAAAAGGAGAGTGGACCTTTCATAGCAGAGAAGTTGGGGACAGGAGGGGAGCTGGGGCAGAGGGTGTTCCTGTTGGGGCATGTAGGACTGAGTACTTTATTTTTTTTTAAAGATTTACTTATGTATGCAAGAGCTGGGGTATAGGCCAGCGGGAGGTGAGAGGATTCACCAGAGACAGAGTGGGGAGCAGAACAGGTAGATTGACTGAAATACACTGCTGAGGGGAGCAGCGGGCGAGTCAGGAGAGGTCTGCTGCGCCATGTGGGTTGCTCTCTGGCCGGCCAGGGATGGAACTTGTTCTGCAGAGGCTGTGGTTTGCTTCATAGTGAGGTGCTTAACACCATGTGCCACCAGGGAGGCCCAGGACTGAGTGCTTTAGTTGCAGTGTGACACTCATCCAGCAGGTGACACCAGACGCCATCTCCCGTGGCACCCCAGGGAACCTGGAGTGGGGCAGTTTCCTAGGCAACAGCAGCCTTTCTGAAAACTTGCCCTAGGCAACCATTTCCTGGTTGCCCTGGTCCATAGTAAAAAGTGACTTCAGAAGGACAGGAGGGGCACATGGGAGAAAAACCCAATCTCTCAGAAAGGAGAGAAGCTGGCTGCTGTGGGAAGAGGAGTCTAAAAGACTTGCTTTCTGCTGCCATTACTGTTAAGTCCCGGTCATTGTGGGAGATGCATCTCAGCCTCAGAACCCTTAGAAGGTTCTAAGACAGTAGCAGACACAGCTTTATTATGGATGGGAGGGGGAGGCTCAGGAAAACTGACTTGCCTAAGGCACCAGCTGATAAGAGGTGCCTCTGGTTAGGAGGCCTCCCTGCCTGAACTCCCCCTTCAGAGCCCCTTCCAGCCTGGGAGGGCCCCTTCCGCTCAACTCTTTTTTGGCCTTGCCAGGGGGCTCCCCAGAATCACGGGATTTATGGATCCAAGGACAGGAGGGTGCTCCAAGCAGGGCACAAGCTGAAGCCCAGGACAATTTTGGGGAGAAGCAGCAGGAAGGGATCCCGTTTCAGTGCAGAGAAAGCCAGCTTCAACTGGGTCAAGAGACAGATTTGGAGGATTCAAATTCAGTTCAGTGATCTAATCTGCTCTCACTCGTGATTTCATCTCGCCTGCTCCACATCTCTCCAGAGGATCCAGCAGGAGACCATGCTGGACACAACCAACATGGAGCTTCTTAACACTCAGCCTGGGTTCTCTAGTGAAAAAGAACCAATAGGAAATAAATATTGCATATTACATGGAATATATATAAAATACTATAGGCAACATGTAACAAGTATTAAGATAGAATATTTATTTACACCTGAGAACCAAGAGAATCCAAGTCTAAGTTCAAAAGCAGGAGAAGACCAATGTCCATCTCAGACAGGCAGGCAGAGAGAGCAAGTTTTGTCTCACTCAGTCTTTTTGTTCTATTTAAACCTTCTACAGATTGGGTGAGGCTCACCCACGCTGGGAAGGGCAATCTGCTTTACTCAGTCTACCAGTGCAGTGTCTCATCTAGAAACACCATCACAGAAATGCCCAGAATAATGCTTGACCAATAACTGGGTACCCCATGAGCCTGTCAAATTGACATATACAATTAACCATGTCATTGTCCCACCAGACCCTGGGCCTGGTCCTCTTTAAATCTACCTCTTCTCAAAAGACTGCGGTCTCATTCTGGTTGCTCAGATAAAGCTGACGAAACCAAAATCCTTGGAGCATTCTTCATTCCTTTCTCTTACACTCATTTTTTAAAAAAGATTTATTTATTTTGCATAGAAGAGCTAGGGTGCAGGCCAGAGGTGCAGGGGGTGAGAGGATGCACCAGAGACAGCAGGGAGCAGAACAGGCGGATCTACTGAAATACATTGCTGAGGGGAGCAGCGGGCAAGACAGGAGACTTCTGCTGTGTCATGTGTGTCGGCTCCCTGGCCAGGGATCGAACTTGTGCTGCAGTGGCTGCGATAGCTTCATAGTGCTGAGATTTAACCCCTTGCGCCTTCATGGAGGCCCTCACACTCATTTTTAATCCATCAGCTGACCCTATTGGCACTGCCTTCAGAATAGACGCTCCCAACCCCTTTCCCCTGGCTCTTCTACAGGCTTCTCTTGACCAGGTTACAGCAATGAGTGCCATTTTCCCACCCCCCCACTGTCACCTCCCTACAGAATCATCTCAACACTGCACCAGGGCAATTCTTTTAAAACATAAGGCAGAGCATGGCATGGCTTCCCTGCAGTCAAGGTAAAATCCACAGTGTTTATGTGGCCTACAAGGCCCTTCATGAGTAGGCCCCACTAGGTCAGAACTTGTTTTTCATCCTGTCCCCACATCCATTCTGTCCTCAACACACAGGACTTGCTGTCCTCCAGGGCTCCCACCAAGCCAGTCCCCTCCACTTGCCCCAGATAGCCCTGTTTTCCTTGTATGCCTTCATCATCAAACGGTGTCACTCATGAATACTTGAATGAATGAGTTCGTGAAACAGGTTCATCGCCTTGTACACCAGTGTGGTGATCTTGAGAATGTGAAGCAGACAGAAGGCGTATTCCCGGAGGAACTCAGCATCTATCAGGGGAGAGAAGCTGGGTGTATTACCCATCCATGGTAGAGCTTATACACAGCAATGGCACAAAAGCCAGCTGCCCTCCAAGGGCTGGCTCTCCACTGGGCATCCTACTTACATGAATTTTTTCATTTAACACAGCCCCGTGAAGTGAAGACAATTATCAGCCGCATTTCTAGAGGAGAAAACAGGTTCAGAGAGGCAAGTGATTGATCCGAGGTCACCCAGTTTCTCAGCCTCCAGATTGAGACCCATCACTGGCTCTCTAGCCCCAAAGTCCCTGCTCCTCCCACTCTCCCAGGGGAGCCTAGGAGACCCCAAAGTGGAAAGGGCAAAGGAAGAGAGGAAGGGGTGCTTCATGGCCAGCGATAGAGAGGGTGAGCAGTACTGAGCTGGCAGGGGACACTGGGGCACCTCGCCTGGCCCTTCGGCCTCCTCCCTCCACTTGTGGCCTCTGCCAACCTCGGGGCTGATTGGGCTCCTTCCCTGGCACCAGATTTCTTTGCCACACCCCCACCCATCCTTGGGCCTGGCTATACTGTGATCCCTTTCTGGCCCAGTGGGGCATATAACCTCGAGCGGACAGGCATCCGGATGCCAGTGCAGCTGTGGCTGGCCAAGGTTGAGGTCACAGGCTGAGTACTTGATGCCCTGGCCCACTTGTCTCATCACAGGCTCTCTCCTCATCTTGCCCTGCCAGGCTGCAAAAATCCCTCCTACCTCCCTCCTGTACCTTGGCTTGGTGCCAGCAGCCTCTTCTGGCAAGGACCAGTGTATTAGTTTGCTGTTGCTGCTGTAACAAATTATCTCAAACCTAGCAGCTTAAAAGGACACAGATTTATTATCTTATAGTTCTGGAGGTCAGAAGTCAAAAATAGATGCCCCAGGGGCCTCCCCGGTGGTGCAGCGGTTGAGCGCTGGGTTGCGAAGCTGCCCGCAGCCTCTGCAGCGCTGGTTCGATCCCCTGCTGCTCCCCTGCCTCTGGGTAAGGGTCCCACATGGCGCGCAGACCTCTCCTGCCGCCCGCTGCTCCCCTCAGCAGTGTACTTCGGTCCTTCTGCCTGCTCTGCTCCCCGCTCTGGCTCTGGTGAATTCTCTCACCCTCCCGCGCTTCTGACTGTACCCAGTGCT